AGTTTTATTTTTAATTTTTCAAGGAACCTCCAAGTTGTTTTCTGTCAAGGCGGTACCAAGTTACATTCCCACCAACAGCATACACAAATTCCTCTTACTCCATACCCGATAACTCTTGTTATCTCTTGACTTTTTGATGATAGCTACTCCAGCAAGTACAAGGAGACATATCATTGTGGTTTCAGTTTCCATTTCCTTGGCGATTAGTGATGTTGACCAGCTTTTCAGAAATGCGTTGACTATTTGTTTTGGGGTTGTTTTTTTTTTTTTTTTTTTTTACATTTATATTTGTCTAAAAATGCCAATTCAGGTGCTTTGCCCATGTTTCAGTGTGGTTATTTTATTTTTGATATTGAGTTGTGTGACTTCATTATATATTCTGGATATTAACCCCTTGCAGATATATGATCTACACATATTTTCTCCATAAACATTGGTGACTTTTCACTCTGTTGATTGTGTCTTTGGCTATGGGGAAACATGTTCGTTGGAGGTACCCTCATTTGCTTATTTTTTGCTTTTACTGCCTGAGTTTTTGGTGTGATACTTAAAAAGTCGTTGATCAGGCTGTCTTCAAGTAGCTTTTCCCCTGTTTTATTTCAGAAATTTTATAGTTTCAGGCTAGGTCTTGAACCTGTTTTGAGTTAATTTTTGTGTGTTGTATGTATGGTTTTTCCTTCCTTTTTTTTTTTCTTTCTTTTTCTTTTTTTGTTATTGTTGTTTGTTTGTTTGAGATGAGGGTCTCACTGTGTTGCCCAGACTGGTCTCAAATCCCTGGGCTTAAGTGATCCTTCCACTGAAACCTCCAGATTAGCTGGAACTACAGGCATGTGCCTTCATGCCTGCCTTCTTTTTTCTATTAATATATGGTCGTCATCATTCTTGACAACACGTTGAAGTTTTCCTCATTTTTTACTATAGCCACATAGTGTTGAACTCCACATATATACCACACTTTATTCAGCCAGTCTCTAATAAGTGGGCATTTAAGTTGTTTTCAACATTTTGCTGTTATAAATAGTGTTGAAGTTAACAACTCTGCATATGTTTTTGTACTCTGTAGGCGCTATACTTTTGGGGTCATTATTTTAGTGGTAGAGTAAATGTATGTATACTTCGTTAGAAATTTCCAGTCTTCTCCATTCAGGTTTGTGCCATTTGGAATTCCCATCAGCCATGTGAGGACATGCCTGTACCTCCACAGATGCCCAATAGCACGGCTGTCTGACTTGTGTTTTTGCTAATTTTGATGGCCAGGAAAGAGTATTCCAATATAGTTTTAATTTGCATTATTTTAAAAAAATATATTTATTTTTTTTTAGTTGGGCACAATACCTTAATTTTATTTATTTTTTTTAATGTGGTGCTGAGGATCGAACCCAGGGCCTCGCATCTGCTAGGCGTGTGCTCTACCGCTGAGCCACCACCTAGCCCTAATTTGCATTATTCGTATAAGGAGTAATTTTACTGGTTATCTTTTGGGGGGTCTAAAGGCCACTTATTGTTTGTTATTTATGAACTGCCTGTTCATTTTGATCATTTTTCTTGTTGAGTTCTTGGTGTTCTCTCCATTTTATGACTTTTTTTTTTTTTGCATACTAAGAATATTATCCCTGTATTTGCGATTTGTATCACATTTGATTTTTTAAATGTTTCATATTTTTGCCAAAAATGTTTATCTATAACTAGTAGATCTTATCAATCTTTTTACTGTTACATCTGATTTTGAGTCATAGTTAGCAAGCTTCCCCACAGCCATATTATTTTTAAAATTACCTATTTTCTTCTAGCAACTTGTATGTTTTTATTTTTAAAATTCACATTTGGTGTGTGGCATTTGGTTTCAACTGGCATTTTTACTACTTTTGTTTGACTTTTTTTTTTTTTTTTTATAGTTCGCTTTGTTTTTCTCATCTGTCTCTACTAACTTACCGTGGGTGTCCAGGCCTTGATCAGCGGTTTCCAGCATTAGTGATCAATCTTACTCCATTCCTGCCACTGCAGGTTTTTGTAGCCAACTTATTCCTCTACTGTACTCATTTTTGTTTTTCTGGACTTACAACCTAAGCTCAAATCATGTTTTTGTCAAAGTTTCCTATGTGGTATTTTTAGTATCCTCATGTGCTCAGATAGAAGTCTTATGTAGTTGAAATGTTTATGTATTTGTGGGTCGTTTGTCTTCCTTTGTGGGATCCTTTAAGGTTTTTTCTTTACATGTGGAGTTCACAAGTTTCCTGTAACTGGTGGGATGCTTTCGCTTCCCCTGCTCTGCATTCCGTCAGTGACTTTCCAGTCTGTTTGCAGTCTAAGGAAATGCTCCTCATTTTGTGCGGGTTTCTTCTTGTTTCTCTCTGTTCTTTCTGTTTGAAATTCCTGCCAGCTAGATGCTGGATCTTCTGATGTGGACTTCTTAACTCTTTTCAGATAATCATCTTTTTTTTTTTTTACATGACAGCAGAGTATAATTTGAAATATTATACATGCATTGAATAAGTACGGCTTGTTTCAATTAGGATTCCACTACTGTGGTTGTACTTGATGTGGAGTTACACTGATCGTGTATTTATATGTGAAGATAGGAAAGACATGCCTGATTCATTTCACTGTCTTTCCTCTTACCAGCCATCCTCCCTTCCCTTCATTTCCCTTTGTCTAGTCCAGTGAACTTCTAACCTCCCCTCCCTTGTTGTGGGTTAGCATCCACATATCAGAGAGAACATTCTGCCTTTGGTTTTGGGGGACTGGCTTATTTTACTTAGCATGATAATCTCCAGTTCCATCTATTTACTGACAAATGCTATAATTTCATTCCTATTTATGGCTGAGTAATATTCCATTGTTTATATATACCATATTTTCTTTCTGATAATCATCTTTTTGGCCTATAGAACTGCTCTCTGAAGATTCACTTTACTCAACTTTCTCCTTTACTTATTCACGGTAGTTAACTAGGCCAAGACTTATCTTCTTCCCCTGTGTTAAAACGGAGATTATTGATTTGGTAGTTCATTTTTATTATAATTAGAAACTTTTTATACCAGCCTGTCACTTTTTTATGTAACATATCTTCTTAAAATTCACCAATGATAAACCACGCATCTTTAGAGCCTCCCTCTCCCGGATCACTGTTTCCTTGGAGGTTGATTTTCTGTCATCAGTTTGGTGCTTCTGTTTCATGCTTTTAGTTGTCAACAAGTGTTTGAGGATTATTTCCTATTTAAGTTTTGAATAGAATTGAAAGTCTAGATTGACCATCATTGGTTTTTGCAGTGCATTTCCTCCCTCAGTGCAAATGATCGTCCTGGTCATTTCCTGTTCTTGGTCTCCTCTTTCACACACATGCAGCTCCAGATTCTTCTGTTCTCAAGAATCTCTGATCCATCGGATTCCATCCACTTTATATGCTCCATCAGTACCCCACTGTGAGAAAGAGAAAACCCCATTGAAACTTTTTAAACCATAGAGTTATTGTTTAGCTCCCCCTGTATGTAAGCATGGCTACGGCAGTCAACAGACCCGTGTCTCCGAGGGTGTCCCCTGGCTCAGCACTGAACCTCAGATAGTGCTCTCTTGTCTAGATGAAATTCCAGGGACGTGGGGTCTGAGTCTTAGCTTTGCAGGTTCAGTATTTCTCATCTTGTCCTGATGGCTAGTGGAGAGATTCTGATGCTCATACATTAATCTAGACCACAAAACCCCAGCTTTTCACTGACTTCATTTATTAAAAAAATTAATTGCGTGAAATTTATAAATAGAAGTCCTCATGAGATTAAGACATTTTCCATTTAATTTTGTATACATATTTAAAGTACTATTTTTTTTAAAGTCTCATTTTTTTTATATAATTATCAAATTAAGGATAGACTGTCTAGGTGTTGCTTGAGAAAAATAAATGTCAAAGAACCAGAATATTCTATTTGGCCTAGCTAATGACTTCTACTGTCATTAGGCATGTGGACATGGGAAGCAAGATTATAGTCATAGGATATTTGGTCAGCCTGGAATCAGAGCAAGAAGAACTAGTTGACGATTTCAATGGCTAGTGTTTCAAGGAGAGGGAGTGTCATCTCCAAATTGTAGGGTGATACCTTTATCTTCTGGAAAGGATTCTCCCATCAGTTAGAGCTCTGCCCTCCACAGAAAGAACAGCACAAACACTGTGAATATGTTGTCGACTGACCTCTGTTTTTTGATGTTTCCTAAAAGCTGCCTTCTGCCAATTGGCATAGCTCTACCTAACACAATGCCAGAACCAGCTCTGGGATCTTATGCTTACAGAGGTCACTCTATCCCTGATAATCCCACTAAGTGCCCAGGTCTCCATCTCCCACTTTGGGCTTATGGGTATCCTGAGCCACTGAAAGTAAACCCATGGTGCTAAGCAAAACCCTCTAGAATGTGTCACTGCTGTTGGGCAGGCAATGATGGGGTGCCATTCCAGGTGAAGACCATCAAGTCCTCATGGGTCAGGTGACAGAGGGGCTCACTGGAGTTAAGGCCAGTGAACTCTCCTGTTCCACCATTTGAGATAGTAATGATTCTTCACAGGCAACACGAGTTTGGCTTTCTGTAGACTTTATCTGGAGAACAGTGTATAAAATATATAAAGAAGACTCCTTATAAGACTAGAAACACGATTTCCCATTAGTTTTGTATATGACATATAAAGTGCTGAAATAAACATGAACTTCAATCTAGAATATTTAAGGTAGAGTATTCAGTAAGCATCTCAGGATTTCCTTTGCAATGTTCCTGTAGAGAACTTGTGCTCTAAATTTGTGCAGAGCAGAATTCATGCCAAGTCGTTCTGTCCTCCCTCTAACACATCTCCACACCCAGGGAGGTGAGATCTGCCCACTCTGTTCTCCTAACTCTCCTGCAGGACCTAAAGTATCAATATGAGCAAAGGCAACAGGTCTCCAGCCCTGCTGTGCTCAGGCGCTGCTCGGAAGCCTTATGCAGGGCCTTCCTCTAATCCAGAGTGCGTGTGTCTTTTGCAGTTGTGAAGATGACCTCTCCGAGGACAGAGACGAGCTCCTGCATGGGATTTCAGAGCTGGACATCAGCAACTCCGACTGCTTCCCATCCCAGCTGCTAGTGCACGGGGCCTTAGCCTTTCCCCTGGGGTTAGATTCCTACCATGGCTGTGTGATAGCAGCTGCCCGCTATGGCCGGGGCCGGGTGGTTGTGACTGGCCATAAGGTGTTATTCACAGTGGGGAAACTGGGCCCCTTTCTGCTCAATGCTGTCCGCTGGCTGGATGGGGGCCGCAGAGGCAAGATCGTGGTGCAGACAGAGCTGAGAACGCTGAGCGGCCTGCTTGCAGTGGGGGGCATAGACACCAGCATTGAGCCCAATCTCACCAGTGACGCGAGTGTCTATTGCTTTGAGCCTGTGAGTGAAGTGGGGGTCAAGGAGCTGCAGGAGTTTGTAGCAGAGGGCGGCGGGCTGTTTGTTGGAGCCCAAGCCTGGTGGTGGGCCTTCAAGAACCCAGGGGTGTCCCCTTTGGCTCGATTCCCTGGAAACCTCCTCCTCAACCCCTTTGGCATCAGCATCACAAGCCAAAGCCTCAATCCAGGGCCCTTCCGTACCCCTAAAGCAGGGATAAGGACCTATCACTTCCGTTCCACCCTGGCTGAGTTCCAGGTTATAATGGGCAGAAAGAGAGGGAATGTGGAGAAGGGCTGGCTGGCCAAGCTGGGCCCAGACGGTGCAGCCTTCCTCCAGATCCCTGCAGAAGAGATCCCTGCCTACATGTCCGTGCACCGACTCCTGAGGAAGCTGCTCAGTCGCTATCGGCTCCCCGTAGCCACCCGAGAGAACCCCGTTATCAATGACTGCTGCAGGGGGGCCATGCTTTCCCTGGCCACTGGCCTGGCCCACTCTGGAAGCGACCTCTCTCTGTTAGTCCCGGAAATTGAAGACATGTACAGCAGCCCCTATCTGCGCCCTTCCGAGTCTCCCATCACCGTGGAGGTCAACTGTACCAATCCAGGTATGGAATGAGCGTGGGAGCAACTTGGGAACTGCTGGGATTGGGGCATGTGATTGCAGCACTTCATTTTGGGGGTCTGACTTCTGCAGATGATTGTCTCTATCCTTTGCCATTTACTTTGGAGAAGACAGGGGCTGAGGCTTGCAGTGCTGTTTGGAAGAGATGGGTCAGGGTAGCACAGAAGGGAAAGGGTGGGCAGAGCTCTTGAAGGATCTGTGGAGTGCCAGGTCGGGTGGAGTCATGGAGGAGGGATAAAGTATGCCCTTCTGTGCTTTTGGCAGGCACCCGATACTGCTGGATGAGCACCGGGCTTTACATACCTGGAAGGCAAATCATAGAAGTCTCATTGCCGGAATCTGCTGCCTCTGCAGATCTGAAGGTGAGGCCACGCCCTGCCCACCACATAACATGCAACCAAGACTCTTGCCTTCCCCACTAGTATTTTATTTGATCCTCATAAAACCCTACTGGCAATACAAGTCGCGGATCTATACCCACATTATAAGGATAAGCCAACTGCATTGCAGACAACATATAGATTGAAACGTTTCAGAGCTCAGGACTCAAAGCCAACTGCTGGTTCTTAAGTATTGTCCTTTTGACTTGTGTCAGAGAGGGAGGAATAGAGGCATCAAACGGAAGTTAACCTACCCCTCCACAGGGATTGAATAAATCTCAGTTCACTTTCTATGCCCATATATTTCTCTGGTTGTAGCACAAGCGCCCTCTCACCCTGGCTTCTTCCCCATAACACCAAAGGTGGTATCTTGATTGCTGGAGTCCGTGGTCTGCTTTTTCACTTCCACATGCAGATACCCCATCTTGCTCTACCTCCCCAGACGACCATTGGCTGGTGGAGCCTAGTCTATGCCCTTCCTATCCTGGCACTTTTTTAGCATAAACCAGGGAAACAATCCCATGATCACCAGGTACAGGAGTCATTTCACCTTCCCAGGAAGGGGGGCCTTGGAGAGAGGGGCAGGACTGAACCAACCCTCCACTTCATCAGCGGGATCCCACTGAAAAACACAGGGTGCCCTCCACTCATCAGTGCCAGGTCCACCACTGCAGAATCTGCAACCTAGGACTCTCTTAAAAGACACTAAGGGACCATTGGTGGAGTCAGCGCTCCTTGGAATTTACCTTACTGGTTACACCTGCTGCTCCTTATGTTAATGATTCTGCACGACCCACTGTAGAGATATTGGAATCCCTCACAAGAATAATTCACCCATAATTAGTCCATATGACCTGCGGAGGGCTGTGATTTCATGGGCTCTCTGACAACTCATTGATGGTACGTGGGGTCGTGGCCCTATGACCTTCCTGAGCCTCCGCCTCCTATACTCTCTCCTGTCACCCACCCATGCCCTGTGGTGACTCTGTTGGGGGGATTTCTCTGCTTCAGATCCAGATTGGCTGCCACACGGATGACCTGACCAGGGCCAGCAAGCTGTTCCGAGGCCCCCTGGTGATTAACCGGTGCTGCTTGGACAAACCCACAAAGTCTATCACCTGCCTCTGGGGTGGCCTCCTCTATATCATTGTGCCTCAGAGCAGCAAACTGGGTTCTGTGCCCATCACCGTTAAGGGAGCTGTGCATGCTCCCTACTACAAGCTGGGTGAGTGGAAGCTGTGGTGTGCATCCCGAGGGAGGTGGAGGGCTGGGACGAGGAGGGGCTTGAGGGCTGTTTGATGTAGGAGAGAGAGACACAGCCTGGTGGGAAGGAGGGTGGCCTCCTTAGATTCTGCTCTGGGGCCAGGAGATAAACACCACACCAATCCATGGGGACTTTACAGGATAAAGAGGAGGGATGTATTGCTCATGGTCTTGTCGTTCCCCTCCTGGGGTCTATTTTGACTTAAGGTATTTGGGAAAGCATGTTCCAAGCCCCCCTGGCCTCTCTTCTAGGGGAGACATCCCAGGAGGAGTGGAAGAGGCGTATCCAGGAGAATCCAGGTCCCTGGGGAGAGCTGGCCACAGACAACATTATCCTGACGGTGCCAACTGCAAATCTACGTGCTCTGGAGAACCCTGAGCCACTGCTCCGCCTCTGGGATGAGGTGATGCAGGCGGTGGCACGACTGGGAGCCGAACCCTTCCCCTTACGTCTGCCTCAGAGGATTGTCGCTGACGTGCAGATCTCAGTTGGTGGGTGCCCTGATCCCTCTGCACACAGACACAAAGTGCCTTTCTTTCCATAGCCATGCAGCAGGCAGCCAGGAGGGTACACACGCTTTGCTAGCAAGACATGTAGACATACTTCCTGCTATTTAAATAGATAGGGAAAAGGTTATGTAAGAAATAAATAGCCATGTCCATCAGCATGTCAAGAGATGTCATCAGAGATATCAAGGGATGCTACCTGATCCTTCACAAGTGTCCAAATGGAGACATCAAGAAGTGGGTAGAGACAGCAGAGGACCTTGAATTAGCTCAGAGTCACTGAGAGACACTGAATGAAGACTCCTTTGCCTATGGGTGACGGAGCCCAGAAAGTGGAACAGGGAATGTCTAGACCTCAAAGAACCAAAGAAATTTCTCTAGACCCTCATTTTCTTGGGATGAATAAATCACCAGTGTAAAGTAGTGTCAATGTGGGCCACCCTGTATCTGATAATGGGAGGGGAAACCACCTTCAAAGAGTTCTGAATTATAAAAAAAAAAAAAAAAAAAAATGAGACACATGGGTAAGGCATCCTCATAAAAACAGAAAACTGCAATGGTGGCACGAATGGCTCCCTACAACCCACGCCCCCTCCTGTGGCCCTGCAAGTCAGAGTGCAATGAGAGCATTTGCACAGAGCGAGGCCTTGAGAAGGAGAGCCTGGAGGGTCTGGGCTTGGAGTGGCCTCCTGAGCAGTAGGGTGTGGGAGGTAGCCTGGGGCTACTGATTCTTGTGAAGTTTCACCAGGTGGATAGGAGGACCCTAACCCTTCCTCTCCCCTCCTGTATTTCCCAGGCTGGATGCATGCTGGGTACCCCATCATGTGCCATCTGGAGTCCGTGCAGGAGCTCATCAATGAGAAGCTCATCAGAACCAAGGGGCTGTGGGGCCCCGTGCACGAGCTGGGCCGCAACCAGCAGCGGCAGGAGTGGGAGTTCCCACCGCACACCACTGAGGCCACCTGCAACCTGTGGTGTGTTTATGTGCATGAAACAGTCCTGGGCATTCCTCGAGGCCGTGCCAATATTGCCCTGTGGCCCCCAGTTCGGGAGAAGCGTGTCCGAATCTACCTGGGCAAGGGACCCAATGTGAAAAACTGGAATGCATGGACCGCATTGGAGACGTATTTACAGGTATAGACAGGAGGTCGGGGGGAGCAATGGGAGGGAGCCTCTCGCTGTGAGGACCAACAGGGCCAAGTGTTAGATGATCTAGCCACCCAGGAGACCCCCACTGCATCTGTCTCCCACACTCAGCCAAGGGAGACGCAGACAAGACCAAATGTAAAGGCCCTATTGGGTGAAGCCTCTTAGGGCCTCACTTTGCATGACCCTAGAGTGGACTTAGTAGCCTCAGCTGCACCCCAAGAGAGGTGAGAAATCTTAAAACCCTTGGAGGCAAACACAGTACTATAAAAATATACTCTCTTTCTCTCTGGTCTTAAAGGCAGACAGACCCTCAATCGAAGCCAAACTTTCTACCAAACAGCTAGCACCAAACCACCCCATTCACGTACTACTCCAGGTTATGAACACCTGTCTTCCCCTCATTGAGCGTACCCTCTCCTCATTATGACCTGGCTGTGCCTCAGACCCCACCTCAATAGGCAATCCACGCTGCAAACCTCACTGGTTACGGAGGTCAGCTTTGCCTCTGAATGCTCCATGCCCTAGACCGCTGCCCCCAGTGCCTGGATCAGTTCCTGGCTCGCAGTGGGGAGTGGCATCGCCTTGGGTCAGGCCAGGCCTGCTCTATTCTGGTTCTTCCACCTGCTCAAGTTCCTCTCTGCTCCTTCTCACTGCCAGGGCAATGGTGTGAAATCATCAGGGAGGCTCTATTTTCACTTTGTTGTTAGGTGCAGGAGCAAACGTTCCTCGTCCATGAAGTAAAGTTAAGTCAGTCTAGGGAACTGCCCAAGGGCCTGTGTGCTCAAAAACTCTGAAATCCTGGCTAGCATGGACTCTAGGCATGGCCTTGGGATGGCTGCCTATTTCTAAAACTATGACTTCTTAGTTCTGGCTGGCTAGACTACGTGTGGTCTCCCACTTCTACCTGAGTCACTCCCCCTGCCCCCAAAGGCCATTTTGGTAGCCTTGTGAGCTGACATAGACCTGTGATTATTGAGGATTGCAGCATAGGGGTGGGAGTTTCCCAATTGCTGGAGTTTCACCTTGTAACTAGGAAAGATATCAAGGATGGGTCCACTTGGGTCGGTTTTAAGGCCCTGTATAACATCCCATCGTTATTTTCGTGATCTTGTGAGTCAGGTGAATAATGATATTGGTAGAAAGCATCAATTTTAATTATTGCAGCGATCACCACAGCCATGTCTGCCTGCTGTCTGCCCCAAGGCCCTTCTTAAGATCAGAAAGTGGGAGAACAGGACATGAGGGCAGTGTGCAGAACAGGAGGGAAGGCCAGGGGTGGACCTGAAGCCCGTGCTCAGGGAGTTAAGCACATTACACTTGTGTTGTTTGCGGGGCCCTCTTTCTATAGGTTAGACGTCTCACCTGGTTTCCTCTTTCTCTTTCTAGCTCCAGGAAGCCTTTGGCTGGGAGCCATTCATCCGTCTCTTCACAGAGTACAGGAACCAGACCAACCTGCCCACAGACAATGTCGACAAAATGAATCTCTGGGTCAAGATGTTCTCCCACCAAGTGCAGAAGAACCTGGCTCCATTCTTTGAGGCCTGGGCCTGGCCCATCCAGAAGGAAGTGGCTACCAGCCTGGCCTATCTGCCTGAATGGAAGGAAAATATTATGAAATTATACCTCCTCACACAGATGTAAGGAGTGCCCATCGAGGTGGCAGGTAGAGAGGTTTGGGGAGGTAGGCAGAGGTGGGGGTTCAGTCCTCTACCTCTGTCTGCTAGGGTTCTGGCCTTGTCCTCTTAGCTCACTGCCGTATCTCATTACTGACTTCTGTCTCTAGGAAGTGGGTTAAGAACACAGCAAAAGTGAAGTCAGAATGTCTCGAACAAGGCCTCCTGTCCATGATTCTGCTCCTCTGCTCTCAGTTGTCAGATTCCCTCCTGACTGCTATCAGCCCGGTCCTGAGAGCTTGGGCACCAGTTTCTAGACTGGCCCTTGGTATATGGCCATAACCCATCGATAGTGGCTCTTACTTTGACATCCTGCGGACTCTCTCTGGGCTTTTATTTTTTTATTAGTTGTTCTAAAAATCTGGTGATAGAAGGTTACTGCACAAATCCACCATGACAGATAGACAGCTCTCTGATGACTCATGTATTTTGTGTCCTGCATAGTTGTCAAAGCACTTTAAACGCAGTCTGGTATAGCAGGAAGAGCCATAGCTAGGGTTTGCTCTTGGGAAAGTCATTTGACCCTGCATTCCCATTTCCCTGTGTATGAAATGGGGATAAAAGTCCCTGCCTCACAGGGGTTGTCATGAAGATTTGCAGTGATAATTGTGAAGTCTTGTAATCTATATAATGCATGCCATTTAAGGGACTTGTGTGCAGAATAGTGAGTTCACTGCTTCCCATTCTCTGCCCATAGCTTAGTGGTTACAATCATCATTCCAACTAGTAGACTCCTTGTGTTCAAATTCTAGATCTTCCATCTGTTGTCCCTGGCAGTTTTCTTACCTTCTCTGTGACTCAGTTTCCTCCCATAAAATGGGACCTATTTCACAGAATTATTGTGAGGATTCAGTTTTCCCTGACTCTAAAAGTCATTAGAACAGTACCTGGCAGCTAGTAGGTTTAGAGAGAACGTCAATTGCCATTGTTATTATATAATTAGCTCACTGATTATTTTATAATTATTTTAGGAATAGACTTCAGTTTAGATGAAGTTTGTAAATACAGTCATAATTTTTAACAGATGCATAAAAATATAAAAATTATAGTATTAATGACGTATCCTGCATGGTTGCAATATATGTATGTAGTGTGCATTTAAATGAGGTGAACGTATCTGTTGCCTCAAATGTCTATCATTCCTTCATGGTCATTCAAAATCTTTCCTCTGGCATTTTAAGATATTCGGAATGTAATTATTACCTATTCTATCTTATTCTATGTTTTATACACCAACCTCTGAAAGGCTTGTGGTACATTGATTTATGAATCCCAAGGAAGGACTCTCAATTCACAATGGTGTCTTTTAAAACTACTAACAGTGAAGTCTTTTTACTCAGTTCTATTTTTCAGGAAAAGAAAGGAACCAAAGGAATTTTAAAAAGGAGTCAAATCCCCTTTTTTGATTAAATCAAAAGTGAATGTCTTGAAAACAAAACAATTCCATGATGGTGTTTGTCCTTAGTAAACAGTAGGCATCAGCCTCCGGTGGAGTTCATATGTCCCCGGTGGCACTAACTAGACAGTCACTGTGGAGTTACCTACCACACATGCCTACAAAACATCACTTTGGACCAAGACAACTAGATAGAGCTTATTTAGCTCACATTTATTTTAATGGACCCTTCCATTGACTTAGTTGGTAAATGGGTGGCTGTGTAGAAAATAAGATTTGACCTACACCCTGCTTTCCTCTGGATTTCATTCCACTTCTCCCTCCTAGAATTACTTCTCCTTATTCCATGAATATCCATGGTCCAGGTCCTTCAAACCTGAATATTCATTCTACATTTTAAATAACTGCTGTCGACTGTCAGGTGTTGACTGTGTGCCAGGTACTGTACTACTAGTTCTTTTTTACAGATTGTTTCACTTAATCCTCACCATAATTTTATGAGATGGAAACTATTATCACTCCCATCTGATGAATGAGAGAACTGAATATTATGGAGATTCAGTAAATTATCTAAAGCTATACTGCTAACAAGTGGTAGAACTGGGATTCGAACCCAGGCATTCTGATTACAGAATGGGGGGTTCATAACTACAGTGCTGAAGGGCCAAATGAGTGAGTAAATAAAGAAGCCAACCAGCCAACAGAGGGAGTTCTGTCCCTACTTACTAGAGCTTTGGCTCCTGTACTCCTCATCTAATTTTATAAGAACAGAGGTTCCTTTGTTGATCCCCAATGCCAGCACAAAGGAAGGACTTAAGGTAGCCTCCTCCCGAGGCACTTTCCAGGGGGCTGGGTGAGTGTTGTGGACCCAGCAAGTCTTTTAGGTTCAAGGTTTTTCAAGTTTCAGTCACTGTCCCCTGGGTCCCCGGAGAGCAGACTCTAGTTTATTGGATTTTGAGTGATGGGCTATTTTGATAACATGCCTTACTCCCAAAAGTCTCCCACACTGCATATTCTCAGTGAGAAAATTAGATGCCCAGTCTTGTAGAATAAAATTGTATCTGTCCTTGCCCTCTTTAAGTTTAGCGGTAAAGCCCCGGGGATCTTTTAAAAATACAGAGTTATCCATGTTACTCCCCTGTCTGAAGCCTCCAATGGGACTTGCAACTTAAGATGATGGACTGAACATGTCAGTTTACCTCCCCTCCTTCCCCAGGCCCCACTGAAATTGAAGTCAAGAGACGGGAAGAAAGAACCGGCACATCTCGGCAAAGACAAAGGCATTTGGTGATACGTGAAGATGATCTCAACACCTTTCTGGAAGAGAAAAAGTGGAAGCAGCTTGATGAGAGCGAAGGTACCTTTCAGACAGAATAGAAGCTGATCTGAGCAACATGACCCCAAAGAGACTCGAGCATCAAAGGAGTCCCTCAACTAAAGAACTGTACCCGCTGTATAACTGACCCCCCTCCCCACCCCCACCCCCTATCCCCCAGCCCCGTGCACAGAACACAGGCGCCTGCTGTCAGTGCCAGTTAAAGATTCCTTGTTGTTGTTGTTGTCATTGTTGTTTGTATAAAGAAATTGAATAAACTGCCTGAGGAGAGGTAAGAGTCGGTGCTCCAAATAAAATCGCTCTTTTTGTGGAAACAAGTGCCCCCCCACCCCCTGCCAGCCTAAATCAGCTAATTTTCTTCGGAAAGTTGAGACCGCTACCCAAGAGCCCAGGGCTTCCATGCAGAGAAGCAGCCAGAGAAACAGACCTGTCCACATGACAGCAGAGGAAACCCACCGACGCCTACCAAAGTCAGTAGTTAATATTGATTCTGGGATGTGAACTTTTAGCTAGGAAATCCCACACACAGAGGGCAGGAGGCAAGAGCAGGGACGAAACATAAGAAAAATAACCATGTAGAATTAGGGGTGTTGAATGTATTATGAACTCCGGAGGGAAAGAATAACTGAAAGTCCTCACCCTATCTTCAGAGAGATTAGAGGTGCATTTGTAAAATGGTAACGGGACACTGCGAAGAAAGGGAAAGCTGTGGATAACAAAAGCCCCTTGAAAGCAAAATAAGACTGAAAAGTCCTCTGTGGACAGGCTGGAAAGTGAAGTTGAGGGTCTCCCCAGATGTAGAGCAAAAAGAAAGAGAAAATATGAAGGAAGGAAAGAGACCTAGACAATCAATATCAACCACTAGCCATTCCTAGAAGGGAGAACACAGAGAAAGAATTGAAGAGTAGAAAAACAGGTTGAGGAACCCCAGTTCTATCTACACCTAGACAGCCTTCCAGAATTTTGGATTATTAAGAAATGTGTCCAAGGAGAAAAAAACTAAAATTAGTTCAACTAAAATCGGATGAGAAATAGACTGACAGCAGAGTTTTCATCAGGGACCCTGAATGCAAGAAGTCATGGGAACAATGTTTTCACACAACTTCTGGAAAACATTGGTTTTGGGAATTCCGTAGAAGGCAGGCGGTCAAGAAGAACACCAACATGAAGACGTGTTCTGGCATGCAAGTTTCAAAGTCTACCTTCTTTTACCCTCCCTGAGGAAGTACCTTGAGGAAGTTTCCCAGAAAAAAATGATGAAACCCAGGAAAGAAGATGAAATAGGACCTCATATGGACCTCACCCCAAGATGTCTCACTCTAGAGTGATGTTCATCTGGAAGGACGTCTAGAGTGATGGTCACCTGGAAGGATGTCTCACTCTAGAGTGACGTTCATCTAGAAGGACGTCTCTCTCTAGAATGATGGTCACCTGGAAGGATGTCTCACTCTAGAGTGATGGTCATCTGGAAGGACGTCTCTCTGAGTGACAGTTGTCCAGCAGACCCTTTTTGGGGGAGAGTGCATAGTCTTCGTCTCCATGGAGAATGTGCATTCAGGGCCATAGGTAGTATCATTGAGAAGCTGGAATGTTTGAGAAGAAACACAGTCTTTAGTCAACAAAAAAGAAAGTTGAATCGAAAATGTCAAGAAATTCCAGTCCAATTATGAAGCAAAATAAAATGGGGCATGATTTTGGTTACTCAGAGTGTGGAAGAAGACTTGAGTTGACATTGACGGTAGGTATGTTTCCTTTCCAGTGATCCAGGCACCATGACATTAGGGGTGTGGCGAAAAGACAGCCTGGCTGCTACTTGGCTCTCAGTATAAAGTATTTTCGTACCCCAAATCTTGGAGATGCCATTTATTGTCTTCAGTGTTCTGATCAACTATCTGACAAAGTCGTAAAAATGGCTGAAGTGTTTTTATTCAGAACTAAAGCTAAATGTAATGCTGACAAATTAGGGTAAAAGAAACCAGAAAGAGGTCGAGAATTAGCTGAGGAAAGAAAAGTAGAAAGGACGTTTAGGGCTACTTATATGTTCAAAGTGGGGGTAAAAAGATAAGGTATTCAATTAATAGAACAAAAAATAGACAATTAGTGCATCGATCAAAGCTATAAATTAAACCAACAAAAGTATTAAAAACAACATATCTATCAAACATTTGGAGAAGTATGGGCAAAGGAAAAGTACAGAGAGTGTAAGCTAAATCCTTATCTTTTGTAATGGGGAATTATCAAAGATTGTCTAAAGTTAATCAAGAAATTATTGTTCAAACAATATTTAAAGTAGAAAGTTAGTTACCAGAAGATCCAAAAAAATATTGTTAAAAGTATCTAGGGAACTGGACTAGGGTTTAAGGGGTCGGGTGGGAAACTGTGATTTTCATTTTAAGTCCTTCTGTACTATTTAATTTTTTACCTTGTGCATGTATTACTTTGAAACATTTTTAATAAAGTCAAATAAAAATCCTTCTGTGGCTTCACATTGGCTAAGATACAATCAATCAAAGCAAACCCTTAACATAGCTTACAAGGCCCTCAACCATATGGATCCCCCTGATATCTTCAGGCTCATTGTCACATGTCCCCATTACTCTGCAGTTCTAGCCACACAAATATATGCCAACAAATCAAGCACACTTTGCTTTCCCTTGTTTCTACAGGTGGTCCACGGAAAACAAGCCTTCTGCTGGGCTCACCATGACTAGTGATTAAGCTTGCTGTCCAGCAGGTTTGCAATATTCATTAAATGAAAGAATGCTCAAGGAGGCATTGGATGAAGATTGCCAGCTAGTGTTCTTTTCAAGGCTGTGAAGTCCATCCCTATTCTGGGAAATACTTCAAGAAGAACCACATAGGGCTGGAACCTTTTCTGCACTCTTATTCACTCGACAGCTTTAACAAATTTTAGTCCTACATAAGACCAGCTGGTGGTGTCAGAGGATTTCCGTCCATCTGTCATCCCTTTCCTAGGTCCCTTGTCACTTTCCCTGTACATCATCATCTGGTTCACCTATTTTCTTCCTGAACTCGAGAGAAACAGGCTACCAAGTTTCTGTGCCCTACTGTCCCTACTACTTTAGTAGCTGTTCCTTCTCCATCCTTCCAACATTTCTGTCTTAAAATAAATATTTACATAGAAGAGCTCCCCCACCACACACCTGAGTTAGCATCTCTCTTATGATCCATGTATCAGGATCTGGGACTGAGATTTACCCTCACAAATGAGAGTCATTCCCAGGTTGTTACTGTCACAGCAAAAACCAAAATTCTTTTTTATCTTCCACCACACCAGTAAGTCTGCATTCCTGTGAAAGGAAACTGAAATATGCCATTAGCTTTTTTTCCCCTATTGTTTCACTCCCAAGATCAACTGAAGCTCACAGCCAACCTTCAACAGGAGCATTTGTAACAAACCCTTTCTCTCCACTCTCCATAGGATCAACCTCTAATATACTTAGTGGATAAATTCCCTATTGGCTTCCATTTTGAAAAGGGTTTCTTCCTTCTATCTCCCACATGGTCAGGATCAATCTTCCAAGTACAGTAGAGAATGGGTAGTGGAAAATTCTCAACTTCCTAAGGATATTTCTTCTAACCACACAAAATACTACATCTAAATTGAGAGAATATAGAAATGGTATTTATGTCTTTGGGTTCTGGCACATTTCAGTGCTGTATAGAAGAAGAATTTCTTTGAGAGGAGACCTAGGGCAGTTTGAGTAACTCAATATCCTACCTCAGGTTGGGTCATTGGTTTCCTAACTGCTCATTCAATAGAGAAATGCTGAATAAACGAATGGATAAATAAATAAGAGGATTAAAAATCAACCAACAAAAAAAAGCCATGTTTTGACCAGCAATGACAGTGTCAGGAACCAAGGTTAATATTAATACAAGTCTGGGCACCCAAGGGCCATTAAAGTTACATCTGTTCATAGAAACTTAAATATACAGGATTATTTAAGAAATATGAACATGTAGGCACTAAAAATCATTAATTGTCTGAATTTTGACATAATGCTCATTTTCACAAACTATCCAAATTCTTTGTTGTAGTTTAAAGTCTGAGACAGTGCCCAAAGGGTGGGAGGGAGGAGGGTGAAATCGTCAAAAATGTAATACACAAAATCTTTCAAGGGGTCCAGAGGAGGTCCCACTACATGGAAAAACGACCCCTCCCCTTCCTGAATGAAACTCATATTTTTTTTACAATCTCGTTTATGAAACTCGTAGATTGGGCCCCAGCACGCACAGTGGGCTGAACCTATGCCTGGGCCTGCTGTCTGTAGGGTGTGTGCTTTCAACAGGAGCCAAGAACCTGGAGCGAGGTCCTAACTTTCTTTACTCTTCACCAAAGTAAATAGAGGTTGGAGTGGCAATTCCAGCACTTTTTTTAAACATAGGGTTTCTCCTTTTATTCTAGCTGTCTTTGTAGCCTTAGAGACAAAGAATTATAAAGAAACTAATAATAAACCTTAATTAAGGCCTTTATCATTTACTCACAAGAAAACCGACACAAAGATATCGTGTTTGTGGCTTGCTCTCAATACCTAGAGCAGACTTAAATCCTAGGTCCTCATGGGAACCACAATAATCTATAAAAAGATAAGCAGCTGACTCACATCTATAGTGCAAGAGGGGCCTTTGGCATAAAGCCTAATGGATCCCCAGTAGTGGAAACAGAAGGGTCTTTTAATGTGGAGGGAGAATACTCTCAGAATTGCTGAATAAATGAATGGATAAATAAATAAGAGGAGAATAGAAGTGATTGCAGAACCACCATCCAGAACCTGTAAGAACACATCTGTAGTTGGACGAGTTGGATCTACTACTCATTGCAGACAGGAAAAATGCACTCTGTAACTGGGGGCATCTCTGCCAAAGGGTGTTAAAGGGAACCTACTATAGGTTTGGAGATTTAGGTAAACAATTTGGGGCAGAGTCTCAGGAAGCCAGGCTTTATTCTGGATTAGATACTGTCAAGAAACAGGGGCGATTCTATAATGGTTGAGATCTCAGTACATCTTATCCATCTATCCAGGGTACTGAAAGTTGAAGAATATGACAATGACAACCCCCAAAGCAGTGTGGTCTGAGAAGAGGGAGGGAGGAAGAAGACAAAAAATTACTTTAATTGTTAGAGTCTGTAAACAAGTCAGGATGGCGCCCGGCATTTTGCCAGAGAAATGTTAGAGTTCGTAATCAAGTCTGGATGGTGCCTGGCAAAATGCAAGAGGGAGTGGTTTGAGAAGTAACAAAAGCGAGCCAT